AATATCATATACCTATAATATAAATGTAAACGGAACGAAAACAGATAATTGCTGCATCAGTTATTTTAGTTTTTTTTATTCTTTATTGGCAATGTTGAAAAGACATAAGGTAAATCCAGGTAAAATGTCCTGTGAACCAATAAATGTTTCCTCTTCAGAAATCGCCATATTGGGTGATTAGGTTATATGACAATATTGGGTGATTAGGTTATATGACAATAAAGAAAATACAAAGAAATAAGTAACTTTAAGTACATGTCCCGTTCGCTGAGTGGGCACTGACTAGTGAAGGTTGTTTCACACTGGCGTCGTACAGACATCACTATATATATATATTCCCAATGATTGTCATCTTTTTTAATAACATAATAGGTTAGTTAAGATGATGTCTATATTATAATGTTAAAATAACCAAGAATATATTGTGTGTGTTTAGTAATATTACGTATATGATATTAAATAAAAATTCAAAATTCATTAGCTTATCTCACCTGTTCTCGCGGAGCCCTTAGGGACCTTTCGCGGAATCTTGAGAAACGTTTTAATTTATTTGGGCTCTTTTATTTAAAAAAAAAAAAACAAACAAACAAAAAAAAAACGCCAGTGACTTTTAACTGGAATTTGATTTTGAGTCTGAAATCTGACGTTGGCGCTCTCGATACGTCTGAGACGAGTACGAGAATGTTCAAATTTGATGCAAACATTATTTCATCTTCCATTTATGGCCCACCAAAGATGCATTCTCAAATACCTGGCGCATACTGTATACTCTCCGAATTAAGTACTTACGTGTCTATGAATTTTAGAACATTGACTATGGATGGAATTATTAAGGAAACAGTGAATTATTTATGCAAAATTATAGACGAGCTGGATATATACAAATCATTTGAAAGTCTAATGAAAAATATAATTCAGGTTCTTTTGGAACAGACACGAAACAAAAGAGTATAAATAAACCAGAAAAGACAGACAGGATACAATGGTTGTGATGCCAATTGAAGCAAAGTTCTAGAAATCTTATGTTAAATTATTAACTTTATAAACACACACATGCATACACACACACATATACATATATGTGTGTTAGCATGTGTGTTATTGTGTGTGTATGTATAAATTTGGGTACACTTGGCTTAATTTTGTCTTCGAAGCAAGGCGGAAATGACCACTCTCTTTCTTTTACCCTCTACCTTCATTTTCCCTCTCACTCGTCTCAGTCGTTTTTCTTTTTCGCCCTCACGGCAATATCAAGCGTTAATAAGATTACAAATTTCTTTTTTGTTCGAATTGAAATATTCGGTCCCATCTTTGTCCATTTAAAGAATTGCAGTTTTTTTTTTTTTTTTTTTTTTTTACAAATAAAAATAATTAACTTTTTCTTTTGCCTCGAGTTGCAAATTAATCTTATATTCTGAATTACGGTCTGATTAATTCTCTCGGAACTTATACTTAGAATAACGCAGATTTTATAAGTACAAATAGCCTCGAGAACTAGAGATCGTTTTTTATGATTTTAAGTGCAGATTTGTTGTTCCGAAATTGATGCACATTTAATAGTGTCGTATCATTGACTGTATACTTCAGTGTCACTGAGCCTTACAGAATTAAGGCTAGAAAAACAAACAAACACTGAAAACGTTTTCGAATTATTTTGTATACATTTGACCCTCCTCTACTTATGGCCTTTTTTCAAAATAATTCTTTTTTATTTTTATCATTTTAAAAGTTAGATCCTGTTCAAATCGATCCCTGATTTCATAAAGAGTTATCTGCACTTTGATTTTATTCGAAACTGTGTTTACGTCATTGATAATTGCGTACTACTACGAATTGGAAAGAAAGGACAAAGTCAGTAGTCCGAATTGTGAGGAAAGAGGGCTTGGAGAAGTTGATACTCACAGGACATATTGAATTCAAGAAGGGCAAAGGAAAACAGCGAGTAACATACCTAACGATCTTATATAAATGAATGGCAGAAGAGAGATTAGGAGGAAGAACAAAAATACAAATCTATGGGAAGCTGTGGAGAGCCATGATCGCCCACGTTCGGAAGAGACAGAGTACATAAAATGAAAAGATACCACTTCGTCGCCAGGAAGACTGTCATGCAGTATACAATCGCTTCATATGAGCAATGATCAAAAATGGCTTTAAGCGAGTGAAGCCTATAGATCTTGGTAAAGCACACACTTCTTCAAACTTTTGTGACTGGCGCTATAGAATCACAATGAACTGTACCACATCACTTGAGGACTTTTAACGTCAGCAACAACTAAAGTGGATATCACCTGTAACTCCAAGGGAAAATAATGACATAAATTATTTTATCTTCATTCTCTTTCACTCTCAGTAGCTTCTTGAATCTTAGTGACACTCTTGCTTTGCTTGGAGTGAATTGATTATTATATATATATATATATATATATATATATATATATATATATATATATATATATATATATGGGGGTTGTAGTTAAATATTTTTATATATAATCTTGTGGATTGGAGCAACAGAATCACAAACAAAGATCTGTACCGAATAACAGAAACTACAGATATTACGGACTTTCAATAGTAGCAACACCTAAAATGCATATCACATCTCAGTTCAAGAAGAATAATGGCATGCTTAAGATTAACATTAAAATAAAAGGTTAAGAAGAAAAAAATCAATCAATAACTGGAAAGACCGATAACAGCTACGGGACTTGAGAAACTTATTTTCCTGAATAATTGTTTCAAGAGAAAGATTTTATAAATTACAACCAAGAGTAGTATTGGCTTCTTGGTCAATGAATGTCGAATTGTTCTTTATAAGGAAACGGCTAATCTAGTTCGATGTATACGACACGACTTGGGCTGGTCTTTTTTTACCTTCAAATGGTAATGCGATGATAATCCGAATCCTGTTAGTTGAAATTTATAAAATATTTCTTTTAAAACGGTTTTTAGGTTACTTATGTGCTAGTAACCTTGGGGAAGGTACGAATCTTCTCCCTCCCCCAGCTATGGGTAAATAGCAGGACTGACCGGATTCTATAGCCTTGGATGGTAAATGGTCTACGCAGAAGGAAATGGCAACCTACTGCGGGAAAAAATTCCCACGAGTATTACTATTCCAGACGGCACTTGTATTTAGTACAAACGAATATTTCGATAGACTTTGTAGTATCTCATAGACTGGCGTTACAGAATCACAAAGAACTGTAGCAAATAATAGAAATCACGCCACCTGAAGACTTCCAACAGCAGGAATGACTAAAATGGATAGCACATGTAACTGGAAGAGAAAATAATGATATAAGATGTTAACTGATCACACTAAAACAAATTTCAGGAAGGAAACCTACACTAATACTAGAAAGAGGGATAAAATTACGTGCCATGCGTGATACACGCTTAAGCGATCATGTATCTTTCGATACATGACTGACGAGGCAGAATTTTTCCCGCAGTAGGTTGCCATTTCCTTCTGCGGTAGACCAGTTGCCATCCAAGGCTATAGAACCTGGTCAGCCCTACTATTTACCCGTAGCTGGTGGGAGAAGGGGATTCATATCTTTCCCAAGGTTATTAGCACATAAGTAACCTAAAAACCTTTTTAAATAAATATTTTATAAATTTCAACTTGATAATTCTATTATAAAATGCATTGGTTATTTAAAGCCGAAACATATTTTTGACTGAATACTGTTACATATTACATTAACAATTTTGTTGGAAATAATAATGTTTTTTTTTTCCAGATACAAGTTAAAAAGGAAAATATGATGAAAAAATAATATTTGTTTTGCAACATAACTGCAGTTATTCATCATTAATCTTCTTTATGCTTTTATGCAGTCCTGGGTATGACGATAAACTACATCCGGTAGCAAGGTCTCTCATCGGGAGATTGGCGTTTTTGAGGAGCGTGGAACTAAATCTTAATTGCTGTTATTCCCACGCCCACCCTGACCCGTGGATCCCAGCTATGAGTAAATAGTGAATCCTCAAACAGAAATAAAAACACTAGGTAAGTAGAAAACAATGTTATTATAGTAAAAATACCAGCAATACATTTTATAAAAAATATTATCAACAATACTATTTCATTGTAAAATAACCAACATACATTTTTATAGAAGAATGACCAGCAATGCTTTTTATAATAGAATTATCAAGAATACATTTTATAATTAAATAATCAACAATACATTCTTTTAGCAAAATAAAAACTAATTCATTTCATAGCGAAATAAACAGCAATACATTTTATAACAAAATGGCCAACAACATATTTCATAATAGAATTATCGTTATATTGATATTGTTTTTTTCTGCAAATTGTTACAAGACCAAAACATCAACCTGAAATCTCGTGTCATGATCTTAAATGGCATCAAAACTTTCATAATGATGTCAGGTATGACGTCTAACCCGACCAGAAATATCTAAACTCTCAGATAAACTGCTTTCTGTGATAAATGTTTAAAAAAAGGTTTTGAACGAATATAGTCTATCAATATTGATGAAGAAAATAATGACATAATCAAGATGTTGACATTCCACACGACTTCAAATAAAAGGTTAGGAAGGAAATCCCCATCAATACTGGAAAGAATGATAACAATTACTGGGTTTGAGTAAACTATTAGGTTGGTGCAAAAATAATGACGTAAGAATGCCGTTTTTTGACGTTAAAAAATACGTCAAAAAACGACATTATTACGTCATTATTTTTGCACCAACCTAATATTTTCCTGAATGTTTTAGGAGAAAAATTTTATAAATTTCAACCGACAGTAGTTTTGACTGTTTTTTCAATGAATGCCGAAAGTTTCCTTATAAGGAAACAGCTAATATTACCATTTGTATCGTAGCTGTCAAGTGGTTATTCTATGATCGTTAAATAAGTAATGTGCATCGGAAAAAGTGGAATCTTTTTGAAAATTTCGAAATCACTTATATTTGAAGCCTATCTTATTGTGACAATACTTTATAGATTAGTCACATACCGATCATTTCACGTTGAATCATCAGTTCCCATACGATCACCAAAGTTAAGCAACGTCGAGTTTGGTCAGTACCTATTTGGTGACCGCTTGGGAATACCAGGTGATGTAAGTTTGGATGTGTGAATGGTGTAAGGTATAACGGCTCGTAAGTGGAAATCGAAGAGCGGAGTTTCAATTCTAGTCGATTTCATTATATTCACTTACACGCAAATACCCTTTGTAAAATTAGGAATCCATCTTTTCCTCCCACAGTTGGGAGGGGGGTAATTTGTATGACTTTTATCAGTAAATAATTATTAATAAAATCATTACAAACTAAAACAAATTACGGCTTTAAATAACTTCCAAAGGGTTGATAAGCCTTAAAAAAAAAACAATATCTATCTCTATTACAGATTAGTCCACAAAAGCTACGCCAGTAGACGTTAATCAAATAAGCCAGTGACTTTTAACCTTTTTCCTTCTTTGCACCGCTTTTAAAATACCAACCAATTTTCGCACTCATTTTAAACCCCCAGCCACTTCTCGAACCCCTTTTAAATCACCAACCATTTCTTGCGCCCCCTTCCAGAATTGATGAAAAGCAATATTGGTCTCATGTCAAATAACAAAACGATTGTTTCTTTAATCTTTAATCACATAACATGTCTATTATTTGCTACAGTCCTTTGTGATTCTGTAACACCAGTCTACGAGATCCTACAAAGTCTTTCGAAATATTCGTTTGTACTAAATAAAAGTGCCGTCTGGAATAGTAATTTTCGTGGGAATTTTACAAGTTATAAAATATTTATATGAGTTGAATAAATCGTGCTACGGAGAGGGTTATACGGAAAATAAGCGTGCCGTACCAAATAATGCATTAAAAAAACCCAGATTACTCTAATATTAACAGAAATATTTAAGTGGCAGTTCCGCTTTTATGGAAACAAACTTCATACTGCAGAGTTTCCAACTTTACTGCAGTTTTACCAGCAATTTTCCTTCGTTTTTTTCCCGAAGTATATATTTACGCTATTATGATGGTAGAAATTGTTAAAATTTCTACAATGTAAAATTTTATCTCAGCTCGCGAATCCTTAATAAACCAACCTTAATGATTCAGTATCCTCGCACTCATTAGGAACCGATATCGCATTTTAAACCACCAACTAGTTCTCTAACCCCTTTTAAACCCCCAGTCAGTTCTCAAACCCCTTTTAAACCCCCAGTCAGTTCTCGAACCCCTTTTAAACCCCCAGCCAGTTCTCGAACACCTTTTAAACTCCCAGCCAGTTCAGGAACCCCTTTTAAACCACCAGTCAGTTCTCGAACCCCTTTTAAACCCCCAGTCACTTCTCGAACACCTTTTAAACCTCCAGTGAGTTCTCGAACACCTTTTAAACCCCCAGCCAGTTCTCGAACCCCTTTTAAATCCCCAGTCAGTTCTCGAACACCTTTTAAACCTCCAGTCAGTTCTCGAACCCCTTTTAAACCCCCAGTCAGTTCTCGAACCCCTTTTAAACCCCCAGCCAGTTCTCGAACCCCTTTTAAACCCACAGTCAGTTCTCGAACACCTTTTAAACCCCCAGTCAGTTCTCGAACACCTTTTAAACCACCAACCAGTTCTCGCACTCATTTTAAACCACCAACCAGTTCACGCGCCCCTTTTAAACCCACAGTCAGTTATTGAACCCCTTTTAAACCCCCAGCCAGTTAAAAACCACTGAAATACGCCGTTTTGACGAATGTGATACCCTGACGAATGGGATAACCATGCTATCATACGTTATATAAACAACTAGAAATTAATGGCATATTAAGCGTATTTTTTTTTAAATTCTTCATTTGGAATAATATAAAAAATATGGAAATACCATAATAAAAATAAAGAGAAAATAAGCTGAGATATAAAAAGAAAATAAGGTAAAAACATTCAAACGAGAATAAGAGAGATGAAGAAAATCTTCGAATAATTTATTTTCGAGACTATCGATGTCGGCCTTTATCAACTGATTTATGGCTGGCAATAAGTTCTTTAAGGCTGCTGGCCAATATTTTGGTGCCCTGTCCCGCGTTTCAATTCATTTCCAAACTGTTTGCCCCCCGTTCTTGCCTTTATTCAGCAAAATCATACCTTCTGCTGCCCCCGATCGAACTTACGTCGACATCACTTATGAACTGTGATCTCTTAAACCCATACAAAGTGTACCCGCCTTTTTCTCTCGTGTTGCCTCTCTGTCTCCACTCCTGCAATCATTATAGTTAGGTTTATATAGGGCAAGACTTGAACTGTGAGCTCATAAAGAAGGCGTCGGGCCAACAGTTTGTTTGATAATACCATTGGTCTATAGACTTGATTCGTAATCATTACTTGTTTTATAACATACAGCAGATGAACTGTGCTGCTCATAAAGACCCTAGAAGGTATAACGACTGCTAGGTAATGCTATTGTTCTATATCACTGCTTGTTAGTAGCTTTTTCTTTATACGATATTTAGGTAGGCTTGGCTGTGTGTTCACGTAGAGCCTCCTGGCTTGTGTGTTTTCTCCATAATACTATTGGTCATTCCTCTTGTTTGGTAATCACCTTTGCTTTATACTGTGTTAGACTATGAATTGCGAGATCATAAAGAGTCAGCCAGCCCGTCAGCTTATTTGACAATAGTGTTCGTCCGTTTTCCTCTTCGTTAATAATTCTTTGTGTATATCATGTTGGAATCGAGCGGCTAAGATAGGACGGAGTTTCATTAATTCCGTTTTGATCTTGTTTGTATGAAGAAACGAACAGACCGATGCAGGAACCTGCATTAGGGACCACCACACATTTATACATGCAGATATCTACATTGACATATGTATGAATGTATGTAAGTATATATACATATATGCATACATACACACACATACATATACATATGCATATATATATATATATATATATATATATATATATATATATATATATTTATTAAATAAAATGGTATGTGTAAAAGATAAGGAATGAGTGAGTTGGAAAGAAAGGAGAGAGTATGTGAGCGCACAGGTGTATGTGTGTCTGTGTGTGTGTGAAAATGTATATATATTTAGGAAACAGTAAATTGAATTGTCTCTGTTAGTGTTTCTGTGTGTGTGAGAGATGGAGAGAGAGTATGTGTGCGTGTGTTTATGTATGTGTATAGGTGCGTAATGCGTATTTGTGCTTGGGAAATTGTAATTGGAAATTTATATGTACGTGTGAATGCATATTATTGTGCGTGTGTGCATGCGTTCGAGTACGTGTGTGTTTTTGTAAAGGGTATATATCGTTAGGAGAGAGTAAATTGTGTGTGTACGCGTTATTTTGTGTGTGAGGGAGAAAGAGAGAGAAGAGTAGATAATGTGTGTGTGTGTGTAGAGGGATTATATATGTTTTTGACAGGGTAAATTAGATTGTGTGCCGAATGTAACTCTTTCTGTATGTGTAAAATTGGTTGATTGATTGATTGATTGATTCATTCATTCATTCATTCATTCATTCATTTTCTACGACTTATCAACTCTTTGCAGGTTATTTAAAGCCAGCAAGTATTTTTAGATTGTAAGAATTTTTTTGAGATACAAGTTCTACAAATTAATCTATAGCTGGTGGGAGAGGAGATGGATTCATACCTTTATCAACTGTATGTACGCGTCAGTGAATATACCGAACCTAACTGGAAATGGAACTCTGCTCTTTGATTGAGAATTCCCAGGCATTATCCATTACACCACGCGCACATCCAAAATTGACATTCCCAAGCGGTCACCCATGTAGGTACTGACCAGATTGACGTTGCTTAACTTCGGTGATTGTACGGGAAATGGTGTTTCAACATGAAGTGGCTGTAAGCCGTATGTGTAATAGAAAGTGTGTGCTTGTGTGTGTGTACGTGCGTAAGGATTATATATCTTTGAGAGAGAATAACTCAGTATCTGTGCATTAGCGTGTGCAAGAGAAAGTAAGTGTCTATCTGCGTGTTTCTGTAAAGGGTATATATATATATATATATATTATAAATTAATTGATTTGAAATATGTTTTTTTTTTCGCTACACAGTTCTAACCATGTTTCAAAAATGGAAGCTAAACTCCCCGAATTTACATTGAGCACTATTTTGTAAAAATAAAAATATCTATAAGAACACCGGATTATATATCTTACTGTTCTTTCTTTTTATTTACACACACACACACACACACACACACACACACACACACACACACACACACACACACACATATATATATATATATATATATATATATATATATATATATATATATATATATATATATATATATACATATATATATATATATATATATATATATATATAAAAGGAAGTGTAAATTAATATAAATATGTAAAGTGTAAAATATATATATATATATAAAAGGAAGTGTAAATTAAAATCTGTGTACGTTTGTGAGAAGGATAGAGTTCGTGTATGTATCTGGTGCATTTGGGAATTGACTATTTTATTATGCTTGCCTGTGTGTATTGATACATGTTTGCGTGTGTGTATTTTGATGTGTGTATGCGTTTGTGAGTGAGAGAGAGAAAGAAAGTGTCTAGGAATGGAAGATCGCACACATGCATCTGTGTGTTAACGAGTGATTTCTTATTTTTATAGATACGAGCGTCTGTTCTAGTATGTAAACCGAGATACATTAATATTTTCCAGTTCATTATTGCTTTAAGTTTCGCTGAATCTCGAACTATTTATTCGTGATCAAATCAGAACAATTGATTGTGCTTCAAGCATGCGTGAGTACATGTTATTTTTCGTCCTTTCCGTAACGGTGTTCTAATGCGTTCTTCATTCAGTGATCCTCAACCGCCGCGCGATCCATCTAAGTGTGCCGCGAAATATTGTCACGGCATATATATATATATATATATATTAAGAAATGGACAAAGTCCGACAATTTATTTATTAAAGACTTTGTCCATTTCTTAATATATGACGTCATTTGTTTACATTTGATACGCCAGAGCAGTTATGAATGTACGAGATTCATGGAAGATTGAAGTTTATAAGCAGTAAATTCAACCTTGCCTACCGAACGCTCCTTTGTGGCCGATCGGATAAGGCACGTCAGCGTAA